GCCCCTCTGGTTCTTGTGCTGGGATGGGGCAGCTGGACACTGGCCGTCCTCTCTGTGGACAGCGGGAAGGGCCGGGAGGGAGCCGCAGGCAGGCTGACCGGGGCAAAAGGAGAGCAGCAAAGCTTGAGAAACTTATTTATCTGACATCAGCCGCTGAATTTATATGTAAGTTTTTTAAGAGTTGGGGCAGCAGTCACTATTAAAAATGATGCTTTTGTGTGTGGTCACTTAGGTAAAGCAAGATACAAGATAAGTAAGTTTTTTGAGACCTTTTGTTTCTTTGATTTAGTCTTGATCTCCTTGTAAGTGTTGGGACTGTTGAAGACCAGAAGCAGGTCTAGTTTAGTGGACACCTTTACCTCCAAGCTTCTCAAATCAATGAGGTGTCAAGGTGTCCATAAAACCAGACTTACTTCTTCACAGTCTGGTTATGACTTTTGGTTTTACCTTTATGCAGAGGCAGAATATGGTCTGCCCTTGACCCAGGCCAGCAAAGTGACTTGGCCATGAGCCTGCTTCAACCAGGCCAGATCCCAGGAAGGCTGGGGGTGAGGTGGCTGAGACTGGGAGGGGGGAAAGCAGCCCATTTCCCCAGAAACAGGGCTTCTGTCACAACTCCTTCCCGCCCCTCTCTTCCCTTGCTGGGGCAAACGCTTGATGCTTGTAAAGGTAGTATTGCTTCTTACCCAGGCTGAGCTGATTCTGGTCAAGGTGTAGCTGTCCTGGCTTTGAGAGGAGTCAAATGCAAAAGCTAGAGAAAGGGGTAAGTGTCTTCAATTTAAAAACACATGAAAAGGTTGCATGATCATCTGCAAATGTAGTTGGTACATGAATGCTTTCTGGCCCACTCCCAGTGTGTGCCTTCTGGATGGCCCTGTGCTCACTGAAGATTTACTGTTGCTGGTTAAGGCAAATGGACTTCTGAATTTATTTATTTTAATAGACAGAATCACTGTAGCTTTGCTGTTTAAATAGCCCAATAGGAGGGAGATCTCGACAGACAGAAAGTTTGCCACAGGCTGGAGACCCACACTTCAGTCAGTAAGTCTGGCTGCCAAAAGGGTTTGTTTAAGCAAGAGTACCGTATTGGTAGGAGATGGCTTTGCTTCAGTTTTACGTGAAATTATTAGTATTAAAATGTCTGCTAAAGCTTAACCCTTTTCCAGTCCATGAAGGTGGCTGTAATCAAGTTAGATGTAGAAGTTATTCTAAAGTGTTAGTTAAACATTCACAAACAAGCTCGTTTGGCAAACGTTACCCAGATCAATTAAAAGAAAAACAAAAAACCCAAACAACTAAGTCATAGGCTTGCCTCATTCTCATATTCTGACTATGGCACTTCTGTATTCACTGTGATAAAATTCTAAAGGAAGTAACAGTCTGCTAGGAAGATAATTGGAGAAATGAATCAGTGACTCCAAAAGCATGTAGGTGTTAGGGTGACAACTAGTTTCAGTTCATATAAACACCTATTTTGATAACAAGACAAAGGAGAAAGTAGAAAGAAAAGTTTTCAAAGAATTTAAAAACAAACAAGATTTCTATTGAACTGTCTTGCAAAGGAGAGAACAGGAAATACAGTGGAATATTTTGCAAAGCAATCTACATTACAATGAAGCTCTTGTTTTCAGCAGTATTAGTGTTGTAGAGTTTTTTTGCAGTTCCCTATAAAATGTATCAAAAGCCAGCAGCATATTCGGTGGAGTGACAGTATGTAAGAATATGCTGTGTTAATATACAATAACACTTTTGCTTTTTCACTTGAAAATATTTCCAGTATTTTCTCTTAACTTGTTTTTTTTATTCTTTTTCTCGCAAGGCACCAAATTTTGGTTTTCAACTGTGTGTATTTTCTGTTAAAATGGGATGTTTTTCTTGTGTTGTCTTAACGCTGAATTTAGCATGATTTGTGCATGGGATGTTTCAGTATGCTAATACTGTTACTGCATTTTAACTGACGCAGTTTTGTGAAAAGGTCTGTATGTGTCATTACTCACTTCTTAAGGAAATCTATCCTAGCAATTAAACAAAAGCAATACTCCTAAAATGTTGCTGTATATGTAAGTTAACGCAATCAAAGAATCATAAAACTGGTTTGGGCTGGAAATGACGTTTAAAGATCACTTAGTCCAGCACCCCTGCCGTGGGCAGGGACGTCTTTCACTTGGTCAGGATGCTCAAAGCTCCATGACCTTCCAGTGGTGGGGCGGTAGGTAAGTGGGTGATCCCACTTATTTGTGTTTGTAATAATGTTATAAGATAATACTTGTTATTGTAAAATTATATACTTCAGAACCATAACAAAAAATTTAAGGCAAAGATTTTATACAGAATTTAAATTTTCAGGTGCTGTAACTTTAACAGGTCGTAGGTCAGACAAAACTGCTGTAATTGTATTTGAAGCTCACTGTATTTCATTTGCTGACACTTTGAGATAAAATGCTTAAAGTCTCTTTTATGGACCTAGAATAAGTATTTTCTCTAAAATGTGAATGTGCATGTTAATGAGAAATGATTGGGAAATCTGTTATGAAAACCTGTCTCTTGAATATGCGGTTTTTCCTACAGTTTAGCATATGAATTTGACCCAGCTAAAAATAGTCCTGGACCCAGGCCCACTCCTGTTGGCAAAATTATTCTTGTTGTCTTGAGACAGGGAAATGGGAGCCACCATGAGTTCACGTGCCACTTCAAGCAGTCGGAATTTCCTTCTGAGCAGGGCCAGCATTTAATCTGTGTTTGTTTCCAGGCCAAAGATCACGTGGATATTGGTCCTCTGGCCCTTACAGTGATAATCCATCTGCCGTTCACTGGGCTTTGGTTCAGAAATATTGCATGTTTAATAAGAATCATAAAGCAGACTGGATCTCCAGTACATGGTGCTGTAACAGAAAGATAATAGGCTACAAGAGAGATTAATAAGATTTTTGAGTCACAAAAGTGTTAAGTCAGTTTAAATCTATTGGTTAAGCCGCTCAAAACTGGTAGTGCAGTAATCTTGAGCTGCTGTGTGTGAGCACAGCCGTAGCTGGCGTGCATGAAGACATCTACGTGATGACCTTGTGCTTAGCTCTTTTTCAGACTGAGTTAGCAGTAGCAGTCCCCTAAGTCTTACCGAAGGTGAAATATGCAGAAGATGGGTTAGTGAAGCATACGCGACAACTCTCAGCAGTAGGTGTCTGGTTCTACCTGCTGTATGGATACCAGGACTACGAATTTGGGATGGCTGTGGCCGGCTGTTTCTTCTGACATAGAGCCATTGGTCTCAATTTGGACTCTTGAGCCTGGTTTGACCCTCCTTCTGCTTGTGGATCTGACTGACTTCCACCCCTGTAAGGACTGCAAAGGCCTCACTCGGTGGTGGTTGTGGATCTTAGTTTGACTATTCCCATGCTGCTTCTGCACTTTTTTCATTTTGGGTTAGTGCAGTTAAAACCCCAAGTGAAAAGCATTGGTATGGTCTGTTTAACTGGTGTAAAGGTCTTCTAGTCCAGAAGTGGCATGTCATTTAGAAACTCGTTTGGTGGAGATGTATTTCAATGGTTTTGAAAATGACAATGTTGTTTGTTTTTTCTCATTCTTTTTGAACCCCTGTTTTTGTATGTGTGTGGTTTTTGTTTTTTTTCCTCTGCCTAGACCTGGTTAACCATTTCTGTGAACAGGTCCTCAATTTTTTACTTTGTCCCTACTTTCCTGTCGTAGCCCCATCTTCCCCTGGTGTCGACTCCGTACCCTTACAGCGCACAGGCAGTCAACACGGCACACAGAACGCAGCAGCGACCTTCCAGAGGGCCAGCTATGCGGCCGGCCCAGCCTCCAATTACGCAGACCCCTACCGACAGCTGCAGTATTGTCCTTCTGTTGAATCACCATACAGCAAATCTGGGCCAGCCATCCCACCGGAAGGGACCTTGGCTAGGTCACCTTCCATTGATAGCATTCAGAAAGATCCCAGGTGGGTGAAACCTTCATTGTCTACTATTTCTTGCTCGCGCAGAGGTTTGTAATTGCAATTTGGTTTGTGTGTTTCTGCTGTTGAATATCAAAAAACACCAAAACTCTGTGATTATACATGAAGGATTTTGTTTGCATAAGAGTTGTGTCCTAGTGCTGTGCCTTGGAAGGCTCTCGTGAGCTCTTCTGTGGAACAAAACGATAGGTGTGGTCATGAATGCGTGTGTTTAGCCCGCTTTCAGTAGCGCCACCCCTCAAAAGCTTACAAACAGTAATTTTCTTTCGAAATGGGAGGAGTGGTGTGGCTGTTTTGACTCTGTAACCATTGTGAACTGAATTTTCAAGTTGCTCCCTGGACAGCTGTTGTTACAGGTCTTGGTTTGTCTGCAGTTCCTATTCCTTAAAGCTGCAGAAAAGGATATGCTGGTATTGGGCAATGAGAGCGAGCGGTGTGGAAGCAACAAGTAGTCAGGCTTATGCTTTGTGCTTCACCCTGTGTGTTGTGCAGGCTTCCAATGCCAGTCTGTGGTAACAGAATGTACGTATTGCAGCTTTGCAGAAATGGTTGTTACTGTGCATGATTTGTAAATACATAGCGCAGTTGTTAATGTTGCTGTGAGGCATGGCCATCCTCATACACCTAAGGAACGTGTAAGGAGGAAACTTTATAGCCATGCATACCCCAAGCTGGCAGCTGGCTTAGGGAGAGAGGGTTTTCTGGCAAATGGTTTGACTTCCAGGATAACAGCAATGGAAATGCTAACTGAAATCCTCAATGCACTTGGTGATTCTGTTCAGTGTTCTGATGGGAAAGAAAGCAAGTTTCTTTGGTAACTAAAGTTTAAACTTGTTGCAAGTGTTAATTTATGCAAAGCTTTTCTATAGCAGATGGTGTGATTTATTTATTTATTTTTGCTATGTGGCATTTAATGATAGGAGAGCCCAAAAATTTGCCCCCAACAAGAATGTTTAAAATGCTGGAGCTGTTTAAGCAACAATTTGAAAAGACTTCTTTATCAGCATTAAAACACGAATATTCACAACCTGATCTCTCTGCTTGTTTAGCATTATTAGTTCTCTCTGTCTCTCTAGCTGTGAGCACAACAGCAGCTAAATTTTACGGCACATCAGAACCATCACTGCTTGCAGCTACTTCTGCTATTGCAGAGTTTTACTTGTTGAGAAAATGTCTGTCTTCCACCTTCCCCCCCCCGTTTTTTTACCAGAAATTTGAAAAAATATAAATAGAATTCCTTCCCTTCTTCCCCCTGCCCCAGAATGAACAGTGGCAACCAGAGAAAAACAGTCTTTTTCTGAAACCTTGGTATTTTGATATATTTGTATTCCAGAATATAAAAGTCCATGGAGGAAAAAGAGCTTTGCTTTGTAAATGTCTCATTCAAACTTAAAGAAAATTACATTAGAAGTGCACTAAAGTGGTGGAGAAATGACTGTAATCTACATGAAATGTTCTTAGGAGAAGCATGACGGTATTGAAGGCACTATTCCCTGTAGATAGGAAGGACATATTTACAGTATCTCTAAAGGTCCTAGACATAATATCTTTTTAAGAAAAGGTCATGTATGTTTAGTTGCTCTGCTATCACTTTGCAACTGTTAGTCAGTTAATGTATAATATATGTGCTTGTAAAAGAAAATTTCCTCTTGCAGTTTTTTCATTTGCCCGCTTTTTGGTTCTTTCTCGTCTTGTGATACCATTTGTGCATTCATGAGTATTGATTTCTGTAGGTGAAGTAGGAGCAAGCAGGCATCCAGGTATAAATTGAACTTCATTAACCCTTCAAAGGGGATCATTAAATATTATTACTAATTACTATTAGATGGATTGGGATTTTGCACAAAACAACTTTTGTGAAAGAGGTTTGTCTTACTCTTGATCTCCTTTGTTTGATCCATGGACCGTGCATGATGTCTCTTACTTAGTATTGCTGCCCTTGTTGGTTTGAATAAGTCTTACGAAGAAGTGCAAGAAGCACACCTGATTGTGTTATGTCTTAGCCCCCAGAAGCTATGGTCAGACCTAGGCAGGCTGGCCTGTGAAGCTGTCTGTGGCCTACAGCAGTTGCTGATCGTTCAGCTATTCGAAAGACGTTGAAAAACTGGAAAGAGTTTGGAGAAAAGCAGCAAAAGCAATCAGGAGACTTTTAACATGTTGATTTCTATGGATAGATTACAAAAATGAGGATAAATGACAAGTGTGGAAAGGAGGGGACAGAAGACTTTCCACTGCTTGAAAAAATATGGATGGACAGAAATTATTTAGAGTAGCACGTGGGAGCTATAATTAGAAGTACTGGCTTGAATTAGGAAAACATGGCCCAAATACAAGACTTTCAGTGGCTGTGTGAAGTTGCATTGTGTTCCTCCACGGGTTACCATCTATACCATACACAACAAGAAGAAAATAAACATGTTGGTCAGCAAAAGGACTTCAGCAACTGGTAAGTTTTGAGTTTCCTGACAGACCTGTTGCTGCTTTTGTTGGCTGACTCGTTGGGGTTTTCTGTGACTGACACAAATCGTGGAGGGGAATGACTGGTGTCCTTGTTGGACACTGAGCCTACCTGTCCAGCCAGAGGACCACACAAAGGCTCACTGGCAGAGGAAAATCTGCAAGACAAAAGCATACTAATTGCAGGCTTTTTGCTGTATGTCAGTCAGCTCAAGATGAGACGTAGACACCCAGAAGAGAATGTACTCATCCTAATAAGCAATTAGAGTTCCTAAAACTGGACGTTATTTTCTGGAGTCTGCAGTTCAGGCAGAATTTCCATCTGAAATACCAAAAAAATGGTTGGCAGGCGCTGATACAGATTACAATTCTTTCCATTGTTTTCACTGTGTTGGGTGGATTACTAATGCTACAGTTCTACATACATGTTCTGAGCTGACATTTGGCAAGTGAAATTTTAGCTTAACATCTGTTCTGCATCATCCAGCTGTCATAAAATGTAGTTTAATGTTCATTAACTTAAAGTTTAGGACAAAAACTTTTTTTAAAAAAGCATCAAGATGTTTGTCAGGTTTGTGGTAGGGGATAATTTTTAATTTATTCAGGAAGACTGTTAGCTGATATGAGCTCATATAACACTTAGTAAAAACTATAACATCTACACTGGTGGAGAGTATGAGACATTGTTATTTAAAAAGGATATAAGCCCTTTATCACCTGTCAGAAATAAAACAAGTTCTGCATATGGAAAATGGAAAAGTTGAATATTAAAAATAATTTACAGATTGATTCTTCAGAGCATTCTTTTAGGTTTACTTCATGTCAAAAAAGGGAGAGAAACACAGGTAGGGCTATGATATAAACTGTTCTGTGCCATAATCTCTTGTATGAAAAAGTGGCATAGGGAGGGAGGGAAAGAATACAATTTTTATTTTCTAATTATTGTCTTGCTTTTCATCCCTACTGAACTATGAATGAGAAAGTCATGAGTATTTTAAAGTATCAGAAATATATGGTGATGTGATGTGTTCCAGCCTACTTTCATTTAAGAAAGGTTAATCTGTCTCTTGGCACCAACAAATTATTTAACATTTGTCTATTCGTAGACTTTAGGGCAACTTGGGACCCCTAGACATAGAAATACTGGTATCCAATTGTCAGTCTGTGCACCTTCCAATTTTTACTCCAAAATACAAACCTGAAAAATGTGTGTAAATTACTGAATTTTTCATTTTTTAACCTACTAAGAAACCACGTACCTGTACTGCTCCTGAGAGATCACACTTACTGCATAACAGATGAAAAATACAGAATTTTCACATTCTTCAGTTAAATACTTACCAATGAAGCTTTGCGATAACAGTGGTTTTGCTTGTTTATGGACTCACTGTGTCTGGTTTGATGGGTTGAGTCAACATGTTTCTTTTATCATTTTGTGACTTTTCTTCTCTTCTTACTTGTTTTTATTTATATGCTGGCATACACACATCTTCTCCTGCTGTAAAGAAGCTGGCAAGAAGCTGAGTTAATGGCAAGATGTATGTGGAATACACTCCATTAAGGCTACCAAAATGAATTTCAGAGTTCAAATGTCTATCTTCATATTTCATTGAATTATATTGATCTACACTTAGAATTTTCTTTATGGCATCCTCATTTCCAAGATATGTGTTTCAGAACCTTTAAAAGTATTTATTTAGAAGAAACGGGGTAATCTGGTGAATGAAGCTGTAAAAGGGCTCATTCTTCATTATAGAGCAGACTGCAATAGGAGTTGGGCTCTTGTTTAAAAACAAACAGACAAAAAACCCCCAAAACCACTAGCAGTAGAAAACTTTTAAGGCCAGCTATCTTGTACTCGTTCTCACCTTTAGAACTGTCTGGGTATAGGTCAGCATAGAGACAGAGTTTTCCAGGTATTGTGTGATTTAACTATAATACCCTGAGACGCTTCTGCTCTGTTCTGCGCTCTGAGTCAACTCTCCATTTCATTACCTCTGCTGGCCTTAATTTCCTCCTAAGCAGAAGATGACAGTGCTGTCTGTCTATCTTCAAAACTTTTAAATTGGCTTTCTTTCCACTTATGAAAGGAAATAAATTAGATCAGAACATTTAGTGTGAACTGTAAGTTTCAAAACTCGTCTTTTTCTTTTGTTTTTTTTTTTCCCTTTTTTCAAAATATGCTCTGTTTGTGAAATACAAGCTAGAGAGCTTTCTTTTTCTGTAGGAAAAAGTGATACAAGTAAAGTAAACTCTAGTTAAATTTCTGTGCTCCGGTAAAACTGCTTATGAGACTAGCACACAGTTTGGAACATGACCTGTTAAAAGATAAAGGTTTCCGCAGGAGTCTTCACCGTATATTTAATCTCACTTTGTTCCAAGGATTGTCTGTGCTAATAGTGTTAGTGTACTGTAAATCTGAATAGCAGCCAGGCACTCGAACGGTGTCACGAGGTAGGAAAATAGCAGTGTAAATGTGCATGTGTGGGAGGTTGGACAACGTGGTGGGACCACCTCTGGTAGTTTCT